GTCGGGTAGGTAATATGGGCCAAGTGATTCCCTAAGGCGGTCAGTCTGTGGAGTCTTTGCCTTTCTCTTACAGGCTGTTATGTCAAGAAACTAGATCGCAGCACATGTGGGAAAGGCACTCTCTGTGTGCCTGGTTATTGACTGTACGCCTGGAGACTCTTCAAAGTAATAAAAAAAAATCTCCTAAACTGTGTGTATGGTACCTGGCTTTTTTGTTTCCACCATTTAAGTTCCTGGTTCATGCTAGTTTTTGTTGTTCTATATACATATACTCTTGGAATGGTTCCTACTCTGATTATTTAATTTCATTTAGATGTGACATTTAGATTAGATGACTTTTGTACCCTTCAAAAGTTTAATAATGCCGGGCAGTGGTGGCGCACGCCTTTAATCCCAGCACTCGGGAGGCAGAGGCAGGCGGATCTCTGTGAGTTCGAGACCAGCCTGGTCTACAAGAACCAGTTCCAGGACAGGCTCCAAAACCACAGAGAAACCCTGTCTCAAAAAAACAAACAAAAAAAAAAGTTTAATAATATTATAAAGTAGAAATGACCATTTTTCAGTATCAGTACAAAAATAAGTGACTGTTTTCATATTTTTTGTGGTACCGAGCACTGTATGTAGCGTCTTCCAGGTGGATGGCGATGATGCCCTCTGCCCACCCTCTTCTCTTTCAGACAGGAGCTCACTAAATTGCCACACATTCAGCAGTTTCCACTTTTTTTGTTACTTGTTTTTAAGGCAGGATCTCTGTAGCCCAGGCTGGCCTAGGATTTGCTGTGTAGCTGAGGATGACTTTGAATTTATAACCCTCCTGAGATTACAGTCATACCACCAAATCCAGTTTAGGTGGTACTGGGTATCTACCCCGTCTCTGTATGCCCAGCAGCGCTCTGCAGGTCGACCTACAAACCCTACCACCAGTTTTCACTTTGGTCAGTATTTTATGCGTGTGGAAATGTTTTGCCTGCGTGTGTGTATGTGCACTGTGTGTGCCCAGTGTCTGCCAAGATCAGAAGAGAAGGTTGGATCCTCTGACTGGGGTTACAGAGAATTATAGTCTGCCATTATGAGTGCTGGAATTAGAAGCCATGTCCTCTGGAAGATCCTCTCAGTTACGGAGCCATCTCTCTAGCCCTTTGATCAGTCAATCCTTAGAGAGTAACTGGGAGGACTTGTCGGTGGATGGATGTGTCAGAAGTTCTCTGAGCAGGAGGTCTGTGCTGCCGAGAAACAATATATACAGTTCACCAAGGGTTTTAGCAGATTGTCTTTATAAACTTAGTTCAGCCCAAGTTAACACTAGATTGCTTTTGTTTATTTCTGAGACTTCTTCTTGTACAGCCCTGCCAGACCTGTAACTCACCACAGATTAGGCTGGCCTTGAATTCTCAAAGATCCTCCTGCCTTGGCCTCTCTGTTGGGATTAAAGGTGTATGCCACTATACCTGGCTTTTGAAATCTTACTATGTATTTGTACCTGTTTTTGATTTTTTTATTGTTGTTTTTCCTAATATACAAGGCAATGCATTTTTGAAGAAAGTCCATTTTTGTTTTGTTTTGTTTTGTTTCGAGACAGGATCTCGGTGTGCTGAACTCACTGTGTAGACCAGGCTGGCCTTGAACTCAAAGAGACCTGACTGCCTCTGCCTCCCAAATGCAGGGATTCAAAGCTTGTGCCACCACCACCCACCTCAATTTTTTTTTCACGGAAGTTTTTTTCTTCAATCTGAAGAACTTTAACTCTTTTCAAACTTGAGTGTGATCAAGAAAGTTTAAGTCATGGGTGTAATGAAAAGTGCCCTGGACTAGGCTAGAGTATGTGGAAACTAGTCTAGCATTTAACTGACTACAAGATAACCTTATTGGGACTGGAGAGATGGCTCAGGGTTAAGAGTATACTGACCACTCTTCCGAGGTCCCGAGTTCAGTCCCCAGCAACCACTTGTCAGCTCATACTCAGATAGTCATATCATCTATAATGAAATCTGATGCCCTTTTCTGGTATGCAAGTAAAAATGCTGACAGAACACTGTATACATAATAAGTAAAAAAAAAATAGGGCTAGAGAGATGGCTCAGTGGTTAAAAGCACTGGCTGTTCTTCTAGAGGACCTAGGTTCAATTCCCAGCACCCACACGGTAGCTCACAACTGTCCTTAACTCCATCCAGTTCCAGAGGATCTGATACCTTCACACCAATGCACATAAAAATACATTTAAATAAATTTTAAGGAAACATTTTTTAAAAAGATAATTTTATTCAAGGCACTTTACTTCTAGATCTTTTTCTTTGTCCATTAAACAAAGTCAAGACACCAAATCATCCGTGAATCTGTGATCTAGGAAAAATAATAGAACGAAAACACTCTATTTGGATATCATTCAAAATGTATCTTTTGCCCAGGGAATACAAGTTCTGGGAGAGTTTTTCTGTTGGGGAAGCATTTGAATGAAGCCTTAAAAATTGAGTATAATTTCTACAAGAAATACGGCAGAAGCTCCCTCAAGATTATATTAAAAAGAAAATAAAGTAGAAAATCGCGAAGCATTTTAGTTGAGAGTTAATCATTTGGCTTGGTTAGAATGTGAGCTTGGAGATAGGTGGAATATGGACTTAAAAAGCTAAAAGGACTTACAGGACTCCTCCTGTTGAAGGAAGCTGGCCAGGTGCTTGTTGAAAATGTGTGAGCTTATTTAATGTCAATAACAGCCTTATGAGATGGATCCAATTATTGTGTACATTTGAGGATGAAAAGCAGGAACAGAGGCTAAGTGGTTTGCCCAGGGTTGCACAGCTAATCACTTTAAAAATCGTGAGTCTGGCTGGGCGGTAGTGGCGTATGCCTTTAATCCCAGCACTTGGGAGGCAGAGACAGGTGGGTCTCTGAGAGTTCGAGACCAGCCTGGTCTACAAAGTGCGAGTTCCAGGACCGGCTCCAAAGCTACAGAGAAACCTGTCTTGAAAAACAAAAAAGGAAGGAAGGAAGGAAAGAAAGAAAGAAAAGAACGAAAGAAAAATAAAAAATTGAGAGTCTGGCTGGAGGCAGAGGCAGGCAGATCTTTGAATTTGAGATTAGCCTGGTCTGCCAGCCAGGGCTACACAGAGACCCTGGAGTGGGAGTTCGAGGGAGGGCTAAGATCCTACCCGGGCAGTGTGCTTCCAGAGCTTTTGCTTTAATACTGTTGAAAGAGTCCTTCAAGGGGGCGTCATGAGTGGCTGTGGAACAGGAAAGTAAAATGACAGGCCTGTTCATTGGAAAGGCTAATCTGACACCACTCTTCCTTGATCTAGGGTAGTAAGCTGTTTTGTAGCATGGATTCTAATTTGTCTTAAATAAAACCCAGAGTCCGATATTAGAGGGTGAAAGCTGAAGAGTCAAAGAAGCAGTACAGTCAGCTGCTAGGGAGACTTTTTACCTCTACCAAATTCTCAGACCAAAAGGGTGATCTTGTCCTCAGACTGCATCTTCTGACTGACTGCTTCAGACTGCTATCTCAGACTGCATTAAGGTCTTGTCTCCTCCCGCCTTATATTTCTCACTCCACCCAGCCATATCACTCCTGTCTCCACCTCCCTAGTGCTGGGACTAAAGGCATGTGATCCCGAGTGCTGGGATCACCTTTGTGTGAACTCTGTTGCTCTTTTAGACTAGATCAATTTCTTGTTGCCCAGGGTGGTCTTGAACTACAGAGATCCCTCTGCCTCTGACTCCCGAGTCCTGGGATTAAAGGTGTGTATGCCACCACTCCCTGGCCTCTAGTGGCTTAGCTCTGCACTCTGATCTTCAAGCAAGCTTTATTTGTTAAAACACAACCACTCCCTGGCCTCTAGTGGCTTAGCTCTGCACTCTGATCTTCAAGCAAGCTTTATTTGTTAAAACACAAACTAAATAACACCATCCTGTTTTGCCTTGAGTTCTTTTAGAAATTCTCTGCCTTATTATTAATTTTTCATATATCATAGTAATAAAGATTACTGAAACAATATAGCCTGTGTTAGCCATACTTTGTTGAAGGAGTTGTAAATTGGTATACTTTTCTGGAAGATGAGCTGACAGTATCAGAATTTAATTGATTAATTTTTTGTGGTGTGGTAGACCAAACCTGAGGTTTTGGACATGCTAGGCAGTTGCTTTACCATTGAGGTATATCCCCAGCCCAGTGTCCATATTTTGAATATGTTTCTGGGGGCGCTGGAGAGATGGCTCAGTGGTTAAGAGCACTGGCTGCTCTTCCAGAGGTCCTGAGTTTAATTCCCAGTAACCACAGGTGGCTCACAACCATCTGTAATGAGATGTGGCGCCCTCCTCTGGCATGCAGGCATACATGGAGGCAGAATGTTGTATACATAATAAATAAATAAATCTAAAATAAATAAATAAATACGTTTCTGGAACCTCCCAAAGTAGGGGTTACCCGCTGGGCACCTAGACTTTACCAGTGAACCTCTGGAGGCATTCTCCACATTAGGCCCCAAAGGCTTGTGGTCACTTCAAAATGCTGTCAGTTTTGTTCCCAGGTATGCCCATAATGGGCCAATAATTCCACTCTTGTTCAAAAACCCAAAGTCTCCCTTAAGACCCAAGGCAAATCCATAATTGTGAGCCCCTGGAAAATGAGAAAATTAAATTATGTAATTTTAATACATAGTGATACAGAGTAAATCTACTTCAAAAGAGGGGAATGAGAGCAAAATAAGATCCCAAACAGCCCTGACCAGCATCTGGGTCCATGATAGCATAATGTTGAGTGCCCTTGGGCCCTTTGCTGTTTGACATGGCCTATCTCTTGGGCCAGCTTCATTTACTGACTTCAGCTGTCCTTGACATATGTTCTATGGACCTGGCATCTCCAACATCCTGGGATCCCAGTTTGTATTTAGGCTTTTACCTCAACAATAATTTGCACTGTTCTTTCAAAGGCTGCCTGCAAGAACTTTGGCACAGTTACACATGGCCTAATAATATTCAGGCTTTCCTTTTTAAGATCCTGTAACTTGAATTTTGAATGGTGCTGCAGAGGCCTCTACAAGCTCAATTCCTGACTGGACCATCCTGCACATAGGCTTTCTGATTGACTGAATGACCGAGCATACTGAAGTAAGTCCTAGGAAAACAACTCTAATCTGCTCCTTGAAAACAGAGCGCCCCAAAAGTGCTGACTTCTCAATGGAAAATCAAATGAGCTTACTCCTTCATATATTGAGCCTGTTATGGGTATAGTCTGGCAGTATCTGAGATCTTCCTTTCTATCCTGATACAAAGCAGTGATTTCTTTTTCTTTTCTTTTTAAAAATATTTTATGTGTTTGGATGTTTTGCCTGTAAGCACGTATATGTATCACTTGTATCCCTGTTGCTGGCAAAGGCTAGTAGTGGGTAGTGGATCCCCTAGAACTGGTGGTGTGCGCTGCCAAGGTGATGCTGGGAATTGAACCCTGGTCCTCTGAAGAGTGATGCTTTTAACAACTGAGTCATCTTTCCAAAAAAGAAAAGTGGTTCCTTTCCTTTTTCTCTTTCTCTCCTTCCTTCCTTTTCTTCTCCTCTTCCCCCTTTCTTTCTTTCTTTCTTTCTTTTTTTTTCAAGACCAAGTTTCAAGTTTCTCTGTGTAGTCTTGGCTGTCCTAGAACTTGCTCTATAGACCAGACTGGCCTGGAAGTCAGATCTGCCTGCCTCTGCCTCCTGAGGGTGGGGATTAAAGATGCACGCTAGCATCACCTAGCTCAGTGGTTTCTTTTTAATGCCAGCTCTCACAACCATACCATCCTTGTCTGAAATTTTGAATATTTACTTTTTCTGCTCAAACTACTCATTTTTTTTTTCAATTTTTCTCTTGCATTTTCCTTCCAGTTTTCACAGTAAGTCTGGTTAAGGCAGTCAGCAATAACCAAGCCATAGTCTGAGCTCCCATGAAACTTTCTCCTTTAAACTCAGCACCTTTCAATTCTACTTAATGGAAATTCTCAGGACATGTTCTTAGCCAGAACATGTTGCAACACAGTGACATTTAGTTCATTTCTCAGTAGAGTTCCTATTCCAGTCTGAAATCTCACGAGCACAACCTTTTTTGTTTTTGTTTCTCTTACTGCTCTGGTTTTTGCCCACCCTCCAGAATTGCCACTGCGGCTCTGTTCTCGTCATTCTGAAGCCTCTCACATCCACAAAAGTTGTCTAAATTCTTCCTCTAAACCAGTTCCAAAGGTTTCTGAACCATTTGGTCAGCTATACCTCCCCCTTCTTTTATACTAATTTTCTGCTAGATTAAAAAAAACTTAAGAATATTTTAAATTTTTATATAAGTAAGTTTTTGTATGTGTGCACTTTACAGTCCAGATGGAAAAACAGCTCATGGAGCATTAAAAACACTTGGTTACTTACAAAGCTTATATGCTTTTTCAACATAGAAAGTAAGACTTCAAGAGTGTTAGCTCCAAAGTGAGTCCCCATTGTGTTTAGTACAAGAGTCTTAAAGACCCATGAAGAGGCGATTGTCTGGAGGTAATGCAATATCAGGTTGGTGTGTGAATGTATACAACAAGTGCCAGTTCCAATATCTCAGCTCCAAAATTCTACCATTTTGTTCTCAGAGGAAGAAGAGTCAGGTAGTATACTAATAAAAAAAAGAGACTATATTTGATCTTAGCAAAAGGGCCCAGAAGTGAGTATAAGTAAACCTAAAAATGTTTTCTTGTCTTTTTTTTTTTTTTTTGGTTTTTCGAGAAAGGGTTTCTCTGTAGCTTTGGAAGTTCTGGGATTAAAAGCATGCGCCCACTACCTGTCTTCTTGTCATTTATTCATGGGTACATGTATGAATTTGCATACAGCATGACACATGTGAACATTAGAGGACAACTTTGGGGAATCTACTGTCTTATTGTACGGTGGATCCTAGGGATCGAGCCCAGGTAGTCAGGCTTAACAAACATCTTTACCTGCTGAGACATCTGGCTAGCCCCTCTCTTAGACTTTTGATCACTGTGACAGATTACTTTGGATAAGTTAAGGGAGGAAAAATATATTATATTATGGTTCATAGTTTTGGAGGTTGCAGGAGTGCGTGGCAGAACATCTCACATGGCAGCCAGTAAGGTCAGAAAGGGACCTCAGACAATATATAGCCCCCTAAGGATATACATCCAGTGACCTACTTCCTTTAGTTAGGTTGCACTTCCCAAAGTCTCTAGGGCATGTCATATTTAAGCTATAACGATACTGCTTTTTAGTAACAAATAAGAGAATATTGATGGTTTAATCCCACAGAGGTTTCTTTCTTGCTCACATGTCCAGTAGTAATCAGGAGGACTCAATGCAGTAATTTAGAGAGCCACTTTTCCTCCATGTTATAATTTTAAAATAAGCCCTGTTACAGTCCTTGAAGCAAGTTTTACAAATCTGCACCTTTAACTGCCATAGCTCAGAACTGAGACATGACTGTGGTTAGAGCTATGCAGGAAGACAGAAAGTAGTGCGTGGATACAACGTTTGCTGCAGTGCATTTATTCAAACAATTGAAGGGCCAGGTAAAGGCACTTAATGAATGCAAGCCTGATGACCTAAGATTGTTGTTGTTGTTGTTTCTCTCTCTCTCTGTAGCCCTAACTGTCCTGGAACTCACTCTGTAGATCAGGCTGGCCTTGTCTACAAACCAGAAATCTCCAGCCTCTACCTCCTAAGTGTTGGGATTACTGCCTGGTTTGATGGTCTGGGTTTCATTTTTAGGATATAGATATTCTTGTTCACATCTGGTAGTTTGGTAAACCCAAACAGGTTTAGAATCTTCTGAAAAAAAGTCATGTGAAACCTTTTAAAAGCACTTGTATCTTTCTTATAAGTAAATCTTACACTGAAGTCTAATTTCCAAGATTTAAAATTGGAGAGGGAGTTTGCTTAAGGTTCACTTAGTAATCCTTTACATTTCTATGTGCTTTATATACTTACTAAAGCAGGCTTAAGATTGGGGGGGGGGCACAAGTAACTGCTAGTTAGAAATAATGTAAATCCACTTTCTAGGAAAATAGGCACAGAGAAGTGAAACAATTTACCTAGATTCTACAGTACTACTTGATGAAGTCTGAGCTTCAGTTGGGAGCTATCAAGTCTCATAGCAATGGGGGTTTCCCCATTCAAGGAGCTGCTTTCATAATCACTATAGCTTTACTTATGTATTTTATGTTTTAGGTTAGTTACTTCGATTGTAAAGGATTTTGACATTCCTGGGAACTTCTCCTTTCACCTTTTCTCAGAAGGAATCTCTCAGAGTCTGTGGGTTAGCCCTGAAGAAGTGCTTCACGGGGCCACATATAGATGCTTTCATGAAGAGGGGTGAAAAACCAGAAGGGTACAGACAGATGAGGCCTAAGACCTTTCCTGCCAGCAACTACCCTGGCAGCAGCCGACAAATGCTGCAGGAGATCCGAGAATCGCTTAGGAATTTATCTAAACCATCTGATGCTGCAAAGGCCGAGCATAACCTGAGCAAGATGTCGATTGAAGATCCCAGGCAAGTGAGAAATCCACCCAAATTTGGCACACACCATAAAGCCTTGCAAGAAATTAGAAACTCTCTATTACCATTTGCAAATGAAACGAGTTCTTCCCGGAGCCCTTCAGAAGTCAATCCACAGATGTTTCAGGATTTGCAGGCTGCTGGCTTTGATGAGGTAAGAATATTTAAAGACAAAAACAAACTAACCACATGATTCTTCTTATCCTGTAAGGCAAACTCCTTTCAGGAGAGCTCATCTTCCTTTGAGAGGATGGATGCAACTGTGCATGCAAATTTGTGTGTTCCGTTAACAAAGAATGCTATATTTACAATCTTACTGATTAGTATGACAAAATAATTATTTCTCTAGTTTCTTCTGTGCTAGTCCTAAATCCTGGAATTTCTTTAGGTGAGGTTATGACGCCAGAGTGGAGGTACAGTTGAAGAAAGCCACAAAGTGATGGGGCAGGGGAGTGAAATGTGAACGCTGTGATCTCAGTTGTTGCTGGAAAAGTGATAGCTCCGGGGCTGGAGAGATGGCTCAGTGGTTAAGAGCATTGCCTGATCTTCCAAAGGTCCTGAGTTCAATTCCCAGCAACCACATGGTGGCTCACAACCATCTGTAAAGAGGTCTGGTGCCCTCTTCTGGCCTGCAGACATGCACACAGACAGAATATTGTATGCATAATAAATAAATAAATTTAAAAAAAAGTGATAGCTCCAAGGATATGAAATCTAGATTCACCATAGGGAGAGAGAACTACAGTGACTAAGTAGAATATTCATGTCACCCAGGCCCAAGTTTATATTTAAGTTAAGGCCAACAAAGCCAATCCTTTTGTTTGTTTTTTTTTTTTTGTTTGTTTTGTTTTTTGTTCTCTGTGTAACCCTGGCAGTCCTGGAGCTCACTTTGTAGAGCCGGCTGGCCTTGATCACAGAGATCTGATGGCTTCTGCTTCCCAAGTGCTGGGATTAAAGGCAAGCACCACCACCACCCAGCTACAAAGCCATATCTTTACTATCTATTCCAGAGCTCCTGTGAGTCCTTTTCATAACATAATTAGTCGTATTTTGTTCTGATTATTAATAAAATTTTGTTTCTCACAACAGCATTCTTTGTGAGTGAATATTTTAGGTGGCAGAAATCATTTTAGATAAAAATCAGCTATGTACAGCTGGAAACTTGGCTCACAGGTTAAGAGCACTGATGGCACTACCAAAGGATCCAAGTTTGATTCCTAGCACTTACATGGAGGTTCTCAACCATCTTTAAGCTCCAATTCAGGGGCAATCTATACCCTCTTATGGCCTCCTCAAGCACATGGTGCCTATACATACACAGAGCCAGAACTCATACACATAAAATAAATAAATATATTTTTAAAACTCAGTTATGTAAAATGTAATCAATGGTGACTCATCAAGAATCATAGGCAGGCATTCTGGGATGACTGTGGGCTCTTGTAAAATAAAAAATAAGTTAGAAGCCAAGCACATCTTTAATCCTAGCTCTCGGGAGTCAGAGCAGGTATGTCTCTGTTAGTTCGAGGTCAGCCTGGTCTACAAAGTGAGTTCCAGGACAGTCAGGGCTGTTACACAGAGAAACCCTGTCTTGATAAACATAATAGCAACAACAACAACAAAAATTACATACTTTTTATTTAAAAAGGAAGAGCCAGGACACAGTTACAGTCAGATCAAAAGAAATCCAAAGTTTAGCAGTATTAAAAAAAAAAAAAACAAGAATTAATGTGTAGGATCCCAGACGGTCCTCTGGTCTCCTAGGGCCTTGTCAATGGCACTTCTCTGGCTCTGCCGTCCACACACTAGGTTCAGGCTGGCTCCACTCCACAGCTACTGCTGTCCTTAGCAGGCATCCCATTGTACTAGCATCTCCAAAATGTTTGGGTCTCCGCTGCAGCTGGGCTGTGTCTTCTGGGCTCTCTTCAGGCACTCCGACCCTGCCACTTGGCATCAAACTCTAATTTCTCTCTATGACCTCTTCAAATCCTGGGACTTCTGCTTTAACCGAGGCTACACATTCACCACTGGCCTTTCCTGGCCTCTCACAGTGCCAAGCCTCAGCTGATCTTCATCACTCCTTAATGCTGTAAAACTAGTACTACCTGGAAACTTACACACTTACCAGGTTTGGCTGCTAGCACTAGGTTAAAGCCTTGGCTTCCTCGGAACCACAGCTTTTGTGTATTAACTCTGAGGAAACACTGCCCAGAATATTTTACCTCAGTGGTGTTGGTCTCTTTTTAGCCTTAGCATTATCTTCTAGATTCCCACAGCAGTTCGTAAGCTCTGAACACTCAATGGCTTTTCTCACCCAGAATTACAGTCTTCCCCAAAACCTGGTCTTGCCACAGAACTGTTCCATGAATCTGGTACCATTTTTTTTTTTTTTTTTTAGTTAGGGTTTCTTTTGCTGTAATAATACATGACTAAAAGTAACTTGAATAGAAAAGGACTTATTTCACCTTACAATTTAGAAGTCCATCACTGAGAAAGCCAAGGCAGGAACTCAGGGCAGGAACCTGGAGGCAGGAACTGGAACAGAAGCTGTGGAGGAGTGCTGTTTACTGACTTGCTCCTCTTAGCTTTCTTAGAGCACCCAGGACCACCTGTCCAAGGGTGGCACCACCTGCAATGAGCTAGACCCTCTCACATCAATCAAGAAAACACCTCATAGGCCAGGTGGTGGCTGCAGTGCATGCCTGTAATCCCAGCACTGGGAGGCAGAGGCAGGCAGGTCTCAGTGAGTTTAGTTTGAGGCCAGCCTGAACTACAAAGCAAGTTCCAGGATAGCCAGGACGGTTACACAGAGAAACCCTGTCTCAACCCTCCCCGCCACACCACCACCGAAAATGCCCCATAGGTTTGCCCACAAGCAATCTGGTGGAGATATTTTTTCGATTGAGATTTCCCCCTCTTCATAAATGATTCTATCTTGTGTCAAGTTGGCATAAAACTAACCAGCACAGTTTACTTGCCCTTTTTTTTGGGGGGGGGGGGTGTCTGTTTGTTTTAAGACTGTGTCTTGTATAGCTCAGGTGAGTGTGGAACCCTGTTTAGTCCAGCCTCACCTCATGCTCCTCAGTCTCTTTCCTCAGTCTTCCAAGTGCTGTGATCACAGGTGTGCAGCATTATGCGCAGCCTACATCCATCCATCCATCCATCCATCCATCCTTCTCTCTCTCTCTCTCTCTCTCTCTCTCTCTTTCTGTTTTCTGAGAATGTTTCTGGTAACTGCTGAATTAAAAGTTCAAATATTTCAAGATTAATTCCTTAATAGGCATATTGATGCTTTTTTGGAGGACATAAATACATAATCACTAAAGATATTTTTTCCTACAAACATGAATATGGAGGCATAATTATGTAATTTTTTAAAAATCACATTGTGCTTTTATTAAAGGTGCTGATTTGAACATTCTTTTTTCACACTGGCACTAATACTCTATTTTAAGTACTGAACACTAAACTGACATTGTTACATATGTGGATCTATTTATTTATTTAGGTCTTTCAGGACAGGGTTTCTCTGTAGCTTTGGAAACTGTCCTGGAACTCACAGCTGGTCTTGAACTCACAGCCATCTGTCTGCCTCTGCTTCCCGAGTGCTAACATTAAAGTCGTGCACCATCACTGCCCAGCTATGTGAAAATATTTTAAATCATAGCAATAGTTTTGTTTTGTTCATATAGTATAATAAAACTAGTTGTATGATATTATATGCCTTGTGGTCACAGCCTTGGGTGGTAGAAGTGGAGTGATCATGCTAAGTTTTATATCCGGTTTAAGGCCACAATGGCCTAATTGAGATCCTGTCACAAAAAAACAAAAGCCAGGATAATAATCACCAAAACCATAGTCTGAACTTCTAGATCATTTAACAAAATATGATTTCAACATATTGATAAACAATAATGGGTTTTCTTGCCAGTGATATGGTGCTACCATATGATGGTTAATAGCATAGTTACAGTTTGCTTTATTTAACCAGTTTATAAATTAAATTTGCATTTAAAGTAAGAGTTAATTTCTTAGTATCACAAATTTGCAAGATCTGACTGTCATAAACATGATCACAGTATACCTTGTTTCAGTTAGAGATTGAGTTTGGTTGTTTTTAACAAAAATCCAATTAATGCTTTGAATATGAAAGTTATTTGGAACTGGAGAGATGGCTCAGTTAGAGCAGAGCTAGCTTCTCTCCCAGAGGATCTGAGTTCAATTTCCAGTACCTATATGGTCCTTCCTAGTGGTCTGTAACTCCAGTTCCAGAGGATCTGAGTTCAATTTCCAGTGCCTATATGGTCCTTCCTAGTGGTCTGTAACTCCAGTTCCAGAGGATCTGAGTTCAATTTCCAGTGCCTATATGGTCCTTCCTAGTGGTCTGTAACTCCAGTTCCAGAGGATCTGACACCTTTTTTTATTTTATTTTGTTTATTATTTTAAATTCTGTGTATATGTGTATCCAGATGTGGATTTGTGCATATGAATGCAGGTGCCCTCTGAGGCTAGAGGAAGGCAGTAGATTCCTTGGAACTGAAGTTAAAGGTGGTTGTAAACTACACCTACCTGTGTAGGTGCTGAGAATCACACTGAGGTTATCTGCAAAGAGTGCTAGGATTAAAGGCTTTCATCTCCATGCCTGGCAGATGTAACCTCTTAATAAAAATTAGCAAGGAATTCCTTTACTGATAGACATACTGGCAAAAGTACTTAAAACACTTTAGTGATACAAAAAGTGACTTTCAATGTTTTAAAGCTTTTAATTTTTTTTATTGTTGTTTAGGTGTGTGCATGATATGGGGCAGGCATGTGATGTGACACACATGTGGAGGTCCGAGAACAACCTTGTGGATTCTGTTCTCTCTTTTTTATATAGGATCTAGGGATTGAATTTAAGTTACCAGGCCTAAAATGGCAAGCATATTTATCTGCTAACAATCACTGGCCCATGTCCAGTATTTTTATTGCTTTTTGAAATATGATAATCCTTGTTTTTGTAAGAATGAAAAATAATCAAAACCATATTGATGTTTTTACTCTAAAAATTAATACTAGAAGGAAACAGTAGCTATGTTACATAAAGATAAAAATATTAAAGAAACATTTTTAAGATTTGAAGGTTTGTTTTGTTTCTTTAATAGTTTGAGATTTATGGGGCTATTGTCAGTAATTACAAAGACACTAATAATAGGGTGTGGGGACTGGCTAGTTGTCTCAGGAGATAAAGGTGCCTGCTGACAAGCAGGGTAACCTAATGGCTCTAGGATCTTCTAATAAAGATGAGAACTTCTTTCTGCAAGTTGTCCTCTGACCACCACACACTCACCTTGGCATTCTTGTGTACACACATGTGCACACATGTACACGAAGTAAGTGATAAGGAAATAAGATATCATAAGGTTTGAGGCTCTGTCTTTTTTATTTATAACTAGGAATTTCTCTTATGTTTACTGCTCTCATTCTTTACTTCTGCTAATTATATTGAAATTATGTTTCTTTTTGTAAAAATTTTGTACTAGGACATGGTTATTCAAGCTCTTCAGAAAACTAATAACAGAAGCATAGAAGCAGCTGTTGAATTTATTAGCAAAATGAGTTACCAAGATCCTCGTCGAGAGCAGATGGCTGCAGCGGCTGCCAGGCCTCTTAATGCCAGTATGAAACCAGGTGATTCATCATATCGGTTGTTTGTCTTTTCTTATTTCTTCTTTTACCATATATTGTAAAACACCTGAATATGTCAAGTCTTAGAAATTGCTGATATTACCAGGCATGGTGGCGGATTTCTGGTAACATCAACATGTGGGAGATGGAGGAGTAATTCAAGGCCAGCAATAGCTACAAAATGAGTTCAAAGTCAGCTTGAACTACAGAAGGTCTTGTCTCAGACAAACAAACAAACAAACAGGAAGAAAGGAAGAATGGGGGTAGATGGAGAGACAAACACTGTATAATCAAGGCTCTCTAGATGAATAGAATTTATAGGAATGAAAGGGAATTTATTTAAATTTTATTTGTATTTTATGTATGCGTGTACTGTGATTTCTGTATGTATGTGTAACACATGCTTTCTTGGTTCCCATTGAGTAGACTCTGAAGCAGTTGTAAACCACCATATGGGGTACTGGGAACTGAATCCCAACAGAGCAACAAGTACTCTCTCAGTACTCTCTCAGTTCTCTCTCAGTTCTCTCTCAGTTCTCTCTCTCTCTCTCTCTCTCTCTCTCTCTCTCTCTTTGGATAGGGTTTTTCTGTGTAACAGCCCTGGCTGACCTCGAACTCGCTTTGTAGACTAGGCTGGCCTTGAACTCACTGAGATCTGCCTGCCTCTGCCTCCCAAGTGCTGGGATTAAAACATGTGCCACCACTGCCTGACTGGTACTCTTAACTTTTGAGCCATCTTTCTATTCCCCCTACAAGGGTTATTTATTAGTTAGAATGGATTACAGGATGTGGTCTGGTTACTCCAACAATGACTGTCTCTTTTGATCAGAAGGCCAAGGATCCAGTAGTTGTTCGGTCCATGTCTCTTTTAGAATCCTAAAGAAGTAGGTTCTTAGACCAGCAAAGCAATGTCCTAGCCATAGGATAGGTGAATTTGCCAGCAAAATTGAGGGCAAGCAAGTAAAAAGCAAAAGCTTCCTTCTTTCATGTCCTCTTATGTGTGCTGCCACCAGGAGGTGTGGCCCAGATTTAAGGTGAGTCTTCTCACCTCAAGTGAGCCAAACAGGAAAATCCCTCACAGGTTATTGAAAACGTTTAAGTACCTGCCCTGAAAGCTTTCACTCAGGGTTCAAAACGAGAAGCCACAGTAACCGTAGGAACTACAGTCTGATGATAGGAAAAGATTCTTCTCACACACGTTCTTTTTATTCATATACTCTTTATTTTTTCTGCCGTTACAAACATATATATTTATACATACGTACATGTGTTCATTCATTAATAGCTTGTTAGTAATGAAAAAAAAACCTACAATGAAGATTCCCAGAGACACAGGCATTCTTTGAAGATACCTAGCAAAACATATCAGCTAGTTTGTAGCTAACCACAGCTGCAACTATGGCAAGGCACTGGCCTTCTCTTAAAGGGGCTACTACAAGTTACAGAAGGGAGAAGACTAAACTGTTGAAAGATGTAAGGAAAAGGCAACAAATAAGTGCATTATTTTACATTTCTTAAGTGTGATTAATAACATCTGGACATGGTTAGTCAATAAATAGTCTTTTTTTGTCAGCTGACTCTTAGGACATAATCAAAAACAGTCTACTGCATCAAAAGCTGGTACAAAGTGTTAATTGCTTTTTTTTTTTTTTTTTTTTTTTTGCTTTTTCGAGACAGGGTTTCTCTGTGGTTTTGAAGCCTGTCCTGGAACTAGCTCTTGTAGACCAGGCTGGTCTCGAATTCACAGAGATCCGCCTGCCTCTGCCTCCCACGTGCTGGGATTAAAGGCGTGCGCCACCACCGCCCGCAATTGCTATTTTTTTATTGATATTTATTGAGCTCTACATTTTTCTCTGCTCCCCTCCCTGCCTCTCCCCTCTCCCGTTCAACCCTCTCCCAAGGTCCCCATGCTCCCAATTTACTCAAGTGATCTTGTCTTTTTCTACTTTTTACTTCCTGTGTAGATTAGATCTATGTAAGTCTCTCTTAGTGTCTGCATTGTTGTCCAAATTCTCTGGGATTGTGGTTTGTAGGCTGGCTTTCTTTGCTTTATGTTTAAAACCACTTATGAGTGAGTACATGTGATAACTGTCTTTCTGTGTCTGGGTTACCTCACTCAAAATAATGTTTTCTAGTTCCATCCACTATCCTGCAAAATTCAAGCTGTCATTATTTTTTTTCTGCTGTGTAGTACTCCATTGTGTAAATGTGCCACATTTTCCTTATCCATTCTTCCATGGAGGGGCATTTAGTTTGTTTCCAGGTTCTGGCTATGGCAAACAATGCTGCTATGAACATAGTTGAGCACATGTCCTTGGGGCACGATTGAGCATCCTTTGATATACCCAAAAGTGGCATTGCTGGGTCTTGAGGAAGGTTGTTTCCTCATTTTCTGAGAAATTGTCACACTGACATCCAAAGGGGTTGCATCAGTTTGCATTCCCACCAGCAGTTCAGAAGTGTTCCCTTTTCCCCACAACTTCTCCAGCATAAGTTGTCATCAGTGTTTTTGATCTTGGCCATTCTTACAAGTGTAAGATGGAATCTCAGAGTTGTTTTGATTTGCATTTCTCTGATGACTAAGGATGTTGGACATTTCCTTAAGTGTCTTTCAGCCATTTTAGATCCCTCTGTTGAGAGTTCTCTGTTTATGTCTGTACTCCATTTTTTTTAATTGGATTATGTGATCTTTTGGTGTCCAATTTCTTGAGTTCTTTGTATATTTTGGAGATCAGACCTCTGTCTGATGTGGGGTTGGTGAAGATCTTTTCCCATTCTGTAGGCTGTCATTTTGTCTTGTTGACCGTGGCCTTTGCTTTACAGAAGCTTTTCAGTTTCAGGAGGTCCCATTTATTAATTATTTCTCTCAGTGTCTGTGCTGCTGGGGTTCTATATAGGAAGTGGTTCCCTGTGCCAATGCATTCAAGTGTACTTCCCACTTTCTCTTCTATAAGAGACTGGATTTATTTTGAGGTCTTTGATTCATTTGGATTTGAGTTTTGTGCGTGGTGATAGATATGGGTCTATTTTCATCTTTCTACTTGCTGATATCCAGTTATGCCAGCACCACTTGTTAAATTTGCTTTCTTTTTTCCTTTTGATATTTTTTGCTTCTTTATCAAAGATCAGGTGTTCAAAGATGTGTGGATTGATATTTGGGTCTGCTATTCGGTTCTATTGGTCCTCCTGTCTGTTCTTATGCTAATACCAGGCTGTTTTCAGTACTGTACCTCTGTAGTAGAGTTTAAAGTCAAGGATTGTGATGCCTCCAGAAGTTCTTTCATTGTATAGGATTGTTTTGGCTATTCTGGGTTTTTTGCTTTTCCAAATGAAGTTGAGTACCGTAATTGCTATTTTGAATCAGAGCAAGAAGTGTAAGTGAAGGAGACCTAGGTGCTATTGATCTCTTGAAGGACTGTTATAACAAGGCCTGATTCTTGCAGTACCACCTAATTGCCATAAATCTTCAGAGAACATGTATCTAAAAGGCCCGACACCTACAATTCTGCTCTTTGGAAGTTCCTCCTGTGATCTCTCCACAAGGACATTCTGTCTGGCCAGTTTGCCCTGTCAGTCAGGCTGTAGGTCAAGAATAGGCTTCAAAGTTTCTCATCATAAAGTGGGACTGGACTATGAGAGCTTGTTTTATATGCCAGAAAATACAGCATAGGAAGAAGTCATCCTACTAACAGAACACGGGAAGATTGTGCCTGATCCAGCATGTGAGGAATACACTGCTAAGGGTTTGCAGTTAGAGACAGCCAGCTAATCAAAAGGCAGCATGTTTCACAGACTGTGCCTAAGTGATTTATCCTCCATCAGATGTATAAATCTTTAGTGGGTCGCCTTCCAAACATCAGTTGTCATACTGCGTATCTTTGTGGACTCCATCAACAGGTGTGCTCAGCTTGCTTGCATTTTAGTTGATTATAGATGTAGTCAGGTTGACAACCAAGATTAGTTATTACAGTGTACAATAAAGGGAAGTTTCAAATCTCAAATTAAGGTAATGGTGTATGGGAATTCCAGGCTAGCCAGGGTTACATAGTTAGAACCTATGTCAAGGTAAATAAATAAATATCTTTTTAAAATACCATATCACTATTAATAGCCACAATATTTTCTTTCCATGGAAATCTGAATGGGTCTATATGTATATATGTTGATTACTTAGGAAATAAATTTTTAAAGGAAAAAGGAAAGGAGAAAAAAATCATTCTTACTAAATCCTATTGAAGGAGCTGCGGGCCTCTTCCCACAGCCCAGTTCCTGGCTGCCTGGCTAGCTTATGCCCCAAAATAACAACACACAAATTGTATTCATTTAAACACTGCCTGGCCCATTAGCTCTAGCTTCTTACTGGCTAATTCTTACATCTTGATTACCATTTCTATTAATGTGTGTAGCACCCCAAGGTGCGCTTACGGGGAAGATTCTAGCCTACATCCATCCTGCTTTGGAGCTTCATCGCATCTGCCTCAGAGAGCAGAGCTATGGCGTCTCTCTGAGGTGTCTTACCTCACTTCCTCTTCCTCCCAGCATTTTGTAACCTATCAGGGCCAAGCAGTTTCTTTATTAATTAACCAATGACCTTCCTCCATCAAAATCCTACTTGTTCATTTACTCTACCATGGATAACTTTCTTTCTTACTAAATATTTCAGAGAACTTGGCAGGTCTTAAAAATACAGACATTCTCACTGTAAAATGACAGAATACCACCCTTTTCTGGACAGCAATATCTATGAAGAACTTCAAAAACTTGCCAGGTTCTTTGAAATTTACTGGTAGGAAATGATACACAGGTTTTTTTTTTTAAAAAAAAAAAAAGATGCTTGCCAAAAAAACCCAGGTTCAGTCCCTACCACTGGACAGGAAGAAAATGAAACAAGGCAATACCCTGTCTTACAAATGCAAAACAAAAAACTGAGTCCCAGGGTTCAGGCCCTAGTATTTGGGAGGAAAAATACTGAAAGGGGAGAAGAAGGGACTCACCAGGGAAGAAAGTCTAAATGTGTCCCCTGGGTAGGAAGCGCTGGAGAAGAGCTAGATTTCTAAAAGGAATTGAAAGCAAAATCAGAACCCCAATTTGGGGCCTAGGTTTTTGTTTTATTTTGAAAAAATAGCAATAAAACTTAATTTCTCTTCTAAAATTTTGTTGTTGTTTTGAGACAGGATCTCCAGGCTGGAGAGATGGCTAAGTGGTAAGAATGTATACTGTGAGGTGGAGGGAATAAAAAAGAAATTAGCATGTCAAGTGCCTGGGTTTATTGCAATAAAGAGGCACTATGATCATGGCAGCTCTAATAAAGGAAAACATTTAATTTAATTGGGCTGGTTTACAGGTTCAGAGGTTTATTTAGTTCATTATTGTCATGGTGGGAAACATGGCAGCACACAGGCAGACATGGTGCTGGAGAAGGAGCTAAGAGTTCTACATCTGAATCATCTACAGGCAGAAGGAAAAGAGCCTCTGGGCCTGGCTTGAGCTTCCTGCAATAAGGGTACATCTACTCCAACAAGGCCACATGTCCTAATCCTTTCAAATAATGCCACTCTTTATGAGCCTATGGGGACCATTTTCATTCAAACTACCATATTCAGATTTTTTTATTTTTTATTTATTTATTTTTTTGAAATAAAGGGCTTTGGAGCTATAGAGATGGCTCAGAGGTTAAGAGCACTGGCTGCTCTTCTAGAGGTCCTGAGTTCAATTCCCAGCAACCACATGGTGGCTCACAATAATCTATAATGAGATCTGGTGCCCTCTTCTGGCATGCAGGGATGAAAACTGCTACATAATAAATAAACATTTCTTTTCTTTTTTTTTTTAAAAAAGACTTTGTACTGCTTTTGCCGAGAACCCAAGTTGATTCCCAGCACCCGTATCAGGTGGCTCACAACTCCAGCTCCAGGACATTTGATGCCTCTGACCTGCAAAGGCATCTCCATCTAGGAACATCAACACATACATATAATTTAAAATATTAAAAATAGGGCCTGGGGAGATGACTGAGCAGTTAAGAGCACTGGCTACTCTTCTAGAGGATCCAGGTTCAATTCCAAGCTCACAATGGTCTGTAACTCCAGCTCCAGGGGATCTGACACCCTCACACAGACATACATGCAGGCAAAAACATCAGTGCACATGAAATAAAAATGAAAAGAATATTAAAAATAGCCAGAAGGTGGTGACGAACACTTTTAATCCCAGCACTCAGGAGGGAAAGGCAGGCAGATCTCTGAGTTAGAGGGAACCTTGGTCTACATGAGTTTCAGGCCAGCCAGGGCTACACATAGAAACTCTGTCTCAAAAAATTTAAAGGTAATATTAATAATAAGAATGAAGTTAAAAAATAAAAAAAAAAAAAGGAGACAAGGTCTCAGTATCCTTGGCTAACCTCAAACTTGGTATGTACATTATAAATTTACTTCAACCTGGATGTCTCAGAAACATTCCTCCCATCAAGCCTGAGAGACTGAGTTTGATTCCTGTGACTACATAATGGAAGGAAAGAATTAGCTCCCACAGTTGTTTTCTGACCTACATATGCATGCTGGGGCACATGTGTATCCACATACATACTCTGAACTAATGAAATGTAATAACATGTCTTTAAGTAAAATCATGTGCTGAAGCTTTATTTCCTAACCTTTGGTGGTGGGGGCTAAATCAAGCTAACTAACATCAACTATCTAGCTTATCTCACTTATTGGGGGAGGGGTTGATGGGAATACTTAAAATGTACTCTTAGATCTGGGCAGGGTTGGTATACCCTTATTTTCTTAGCACATGGAAGTCTAGAACAGGAAGACCAAGAATTTGAGGCCAGCCGAGGCTAAATGACAATTAAGATCCTTGAAATAATTAGTCAGTTAATTATTTTGTGCAGTTCTCGAGAATGCATTGGGTTTTGTTAGGTTATGGATGTTTTACTTGCATGTATGTACGTGAACCCATGTATCTAATGCCTGTGAAGTTCAAAAGAGGGTGTTGGATTGTAAGCTGCCTTGTGGGTGGTGGGAACTGAACATAGATCTTCTGTAAGAGCAGCAATCACTTTTAACCTAACTGAGCCATCTCTCCAGCCCCAAGAATGCATTGTTATTACCTGTACTCAACATGTTTTAATGTAACACAGTGATAAAAACCCAGAGACAGATATTGAGGTTCAATCTGAGGATCAGAAAAGCAAAGCAGCCAGCCACTGGCTTTTACCTCCATCTCAAACCAAAATGGTGATCCTGTCTCCACAAATCCTCAGAATGAGACTGAGCATGAGACCTGTCTCCTCCTGTCTTATATTCCTCTCTAGTGCTGGCATTAAAGGTATGCACCACCACTGCCCAGCTTCTGTGACTAACTGGTATAGCTGCTGGGATTAAAGATGTGTGAAACCACAGCCTGGCCTGTATGACTAACTACCGCGGCTACTTTGCACTGACGCTCAGGCAAGCTTTATTTATTAAAACATAAATAACAAAGAGGTAAGAGCCAGGACTGGCTGTTTTGCTTTTCTGATCTTCAGTTTGAACCCCATTATCTGTCTCTGGTTTTTATTACTCGTGTTACATTGTAAAATTGATCTCTTGACTTATTCCTATTTTACAGTTCTTAAACTTAAGTATTATTTAGTAGTATCAGAATTCTGAGATAAATTATTTTAAAATGAGGGTTAAAAAACATGACTTTCTCTCTTTTATAATCATAGGAAATGTGCAACAATCAATTAACCGAAAACAAAGCTGGAAAGGTTCTAAAGAATCTTTAGTTCCTCAGAGACATGGCCCACCTCTAGGAGAAAATGTGGTCTATCGTTCTGAAAGCCCCAACTCACAGGCGGATGTAGGAAGACCCCTATCTGGATCTGGTATTGCAGCATTTGCTCAAGCTCACCCAAGCAATGGACAGAGAGTGAATCCCCCACCACCACCTCAAGTTAGGAGTGTTACTCCTCCACCACCTCCAAGAGGCCAGACTCCCCCTCCACGAGGCACAACTCCACCTCCCCCTTCATGGGAACCAAACTCTCAGACAAAGCGCTACTCTGGGAGCATGGAATACGTAATCTCCCGAATCTCTCCTGTTCCACCTGGGGCATGGCAGGAGGGCTACCCTCCACCACCTCTTAACCCTTCTGCCATGAGTCCTCCTAACCAGGGACAGAGAGGCATTAATTCTGTTCCAGTTGGCAGACAACCAATCATCATGCAAAGTACTAACAAATTTAACTTTCCAACAGGGAGACCTGGAGTTCAGAACGGCGGTGGTCAGACTGATTTTATCATGCACCAAAATGTCCCTGCTGGTGCTGTGAATCGGCAGCCACCACCTCCATATCCTCTGACCCCAACTAATGGACAAAGCCCTTCTACTTTACAAACAGGGGGATCTGCTGCTCCTCCATCATATGCAAATGGAAATATTCCTCAATCGATGATGGTGCCAAACAGGAACAGTCATAACATGGAGCTTTATAATATTAATGTACCTGGACTGCAAACAACTTGGCCCCAGTCATCCTCTGCTCCTGTCCAGTCATCGCCAAACAGTGGGCATGAAATTCCTACATGGCAACCTAACATACCAGTGAGGTCAAATTCTTTTAATAACCCATTAGGAAGTAGACCAAGTCACTCTGCTAATTCTCAGCCTTCAGCCACTACAGTCACTGCGATCACACCAGCTCCTATTCAACAGCCTGTGAAAAGCATGCGTGTCTTAAAACCAGAGCTGCAGACTGCTTTAGCCCCTACCCATCCTTCTTGGATGCCACAGCCAATTCAGACTGTTCAGCCTACCCCTTTTCCTGAGAGTACAGCTCCAAATGTGCCTGTCATTCCACCTGTTGCTGAAGCTCCAAGCTATCAAGGTCCACCACCACCTTATCCAAAACATCTGCTACACCAAAACCCATCTGTTCCTCCATATGAATCAATAAATAAACCGTGCAAAGAAGATCAGTCTAGCTTACCCAAGGAAGAAGATAGTGAGAAAAGTATGGAAAATGTTGATTGTGGGGATAAAGAAAAGAAACAGATTACAACTTCACCTATCACTGTTAGGAAAAACAAGAAAGATGAAGAACGAAGAGAGTCTCGTATTCAGAGCTACTCACCTCAGGCCTTCAAATTTTTTATGGAGCAGCATGTAGAAAATGTCTTGAAGTCTCATCAGCAACGTCTGCATCGGAAAAAACAGTTAGAAAATGAAATGATGCGGGTAAAACTCTTAAAAATATTTTCACGCTTGATCATCTATTTCCTTGGCATTTTAAAGTACTGTGCGCTGGTATTCTTACAGCGAATTATGATGTGTTGCCAATAATTTGAGTAAACTTGGGGAGAATTTTTGTTTATAGCATTTCAGTGATTTATTCATCATTTCCTATAATAAAGTTCTGATGTAAATTTGCAATTCATTATAGTATATGGGATATGGAAATTAAAACAAGGGTTAATTTCTAGATTTTATACATTATTTTATAACATACATAGAAATATCTGGGTTATCTTTCAATACACATTAAAATCATTGCTTTTTAGTTGAGAATTTGGTGTTTATTCTCTATATATACATTATTAGAAAGTGTCAGTCACTAGGCATGGTGGCACACACCTTTAATGCCAGCACTCAGAAGGCAGAGGCCAGTGTTGCTAGTTCCAAGGCAGCCAAGACTACCTTGTTCCAGTAACAAGACTGTCACACACACACACACACACCAGAAAGAAAAAAATTAAGGAAGTGCCAAAGTCATCTCTTTGCAGTTACTTTCCTCTTCTAATTATGCTTGAGGAGAGTATGCTGAAATTGTTGAATACATTGAGACCAGAGTACTGAGCACTCCCTTCAGATCCCAAGTAGATGCCATTGGTAGGTACTGTGGTTGAGCCCTCACCATCATGGTTGTATCCTGTGCTCAGAATGCAAAACTTTGAATTTTTCCTCCTTTTGCATCTGCCACTCAAAGTGTAAGATGATTATGCTTCTTTTCATTCCGAGAGAGCTATAAAATGATTATTTCAAGTCTCACTTGAGTTCAGTACGATATTTTCTATCTTTGATATGGAGGGTTCCAGACAGAGTTTCTCTGTGCCCTGGCTGTCCTGGAACTCATTCTAGACCAGACTGGCCTCAAACTCACAGAGATCTGCCTGTCTCTGCCTCCCGAGTGCTTGGATTAAAGGCATGTGCTACTACTACCCAGCCAATATTTTCTTACTATAAATAATTATGCTAAATAAGAAATACCACAAATTCTTTTATTCACATTGTTCTTAGATTTCTTACTAAAGTCTATGTATTTTCTTAGTTTATTTTTCCTTTTTCCTCTTCACTTTCACTAATAGCTGACTTAAACTTTCATGGTGTTGGAAGCTTTGCTGACTTCTGTAGTCTCCATTACTGTGTAGGCAAGTAAGATTTTAAGAGAAAGAGTTCTGTACTAAGTCTGGCATGCTACCACTCTGAAAAGACTTTGCATGCAAATGCACATCCTAACAGAAGCATGAGGTTGCTGTATTGAGATTAGTCTTGCATTTCTAAAATTAGCCTCTACTTTTCCAAGTGTGGTTTTTTTTGTTGTTGTTGTTGATTTTTGACAGGGTTTCTCTGTGTAGCCTTGGAGCCTGTCCTGGAACTCACTCTGTAGACCAGGCTGGTCCCAAACTCACAGAGATCTGCCTGCCTCTGCTCCTGAGTGCTGGGATTAGAGGCGTGCGCCACCACTGCCCGGCTAAGCTTGTCCTTTTAAACTTTAATATTCTTTATTAGCCAAAGAAACTCCTTGCCTTCTAAGTCCAGGTCTTCTGTCACTGCTTAGAAGCTGAGCTTTGCATTTATCTGAGTTTTTTTTATAATGCCCTTAATCATCATAATTTTAAAAATTATTTCAGAATATTTACAAGATACCAAGCAGGTTGTACTTTGTTGTTAGAGGTAGACCAGGAGTGTCAGCCTTACACTGACGTTCTCAAAAAGAAAAAGAAAGATTACCATGACTTATTTCTTTAAAAAGCTTTTAGTTACATTTTGATTTATATGTATCTCTCCGTATGTATATGTGTGTTATATGTTCATGCACATGTGCACACAAACCTCTGAGAACATGTAAAGGTCAGAGGACAGCATGAGGGAGTTGGTTCTATCTACCATGTGGGTCCTAGGGATCAAACTGGGAGAGTCAGACTTGGCCACAGGGGCCTTTGCCTGCTGAGCCATTTGTTGTTTCTTTCTTTTTGTTCATAAGAATGATTGAACCTGGAGTGAAGAAATTTTTCTCTGTGAAATGTAAAATCATGGGGAAAATATTTAAGGCCTAGACATCTAGAAAAACGATTTAGTGAAGGCAGGCCAACCCTATAATGTGGGAATATGCACGGAGAGAGTTGAGAGTGCATGCTAATGAACTTGTTTTGTTGTCTTTTGGGAAACTACTCTGTGAGTGCTTCAGAGAGGACCAGAAGCCTGCTGATGGCCTCTTCTACTTGCTCTCCACAGCTGAATTTGCATATAGACTCACCTTGTGTATTGCTTACTAGCTTTCAAGCTTGACTTTGATCATTAATTTAGCTCTGCAATACATTCTAGAATTCTAACATGCTTTATTAAAAATCATTATGCATTTAACTTTCAAAAATATGCCTGATTTTTTTTAAGCTTTTTTCTTGCTATCCAATACAATTCCTTATTTAACCTCTAGTTTATTTACCTAGGTTGGATTATCTCAAGATGCCCAGGATCAAATGAGAAAGATGCTTTGCCAGAAAGAGTCTAACTATATTCGTCTTAAAAGGGCTAAAATGGACAAGTCTATGTTTGTGAAGATAAAGACTCTAGGAATAGGAGCCTTTGGTGAAGTCTGTCTAGCAAGGAAAGTTGACACGAAGGCTCTTTATGCCACAAAAACGCTGCGAAAGAAAGATGTTCTGCTCCGAAACCAAGTTGCTCATGTTAAAGCCGAGAGGGATATTCTAGCCGAAGCCGACAATGAATGGGTAGTTCGCTTGTATTACTCATTCCAGGATAAGGACAACTTGTACTTTGTGATGGACTACATTCCTGGGGGTGATATGATGAGCCTATTAATTAGAATGGGCATCTTTCCAGAAAATCTGGCACGATTCTACATAGCAGAACTTACCTGCGCAGTTGAAAGTGTTCATAAAATGGGTTTTATTCATAGAGATATTAAACCTGATAACATTTTGATTGACCGAGATGGCCATATTAAATTGACTGACTTTGGTCTGTGCACTGGCTTCAGATGGACTCATGATTCCAAATACTACCAGAGTGGTAAGTGAGCTTGTAAATTCCATTTTAACTCACCGTAATTTACTTTTGTAGTACAACTTAGGATGACTTCAACAATGGGTGAGACTGGTAGGCATAAGTTTCTAACTCTCTTATAAAATTTAGGTGAATCCCTTACACATAGATCTATAAAGTTTAAGAGTGTATAAAGTTCATTGAAATATTATTAAAGTGTAGATAACTACTACAAAATTTTGTTACTTTTGAAATGTGTCAGTTTTTAAAATAATTTTGAATAAAGCCTCTGTGTTCACCAAGATAACCAGTAGTTGTTAGATACCTTTAATTGTTACTTTCCCTTCTTTCCTTCAGAGACATCCATTATTTAGAACTTTGTAATCCGTTCTTCACTTTTCTTGGTTTTGCTGCTGCTGCTGTTTCTCAGGTCCCCGCCTGCTAGGCAGGTAGTCTGTCACTGAGCTATAGTCTCGCCACTTTGTATTTTTTATTCTGAAACAAGCTCTCTCACTAGGTTGCCCAGACTTCAGGAGAACTTACACTCTGTAGTTCAGGAAAGCCTTCACCTTGGGATCCTCTAACCTCAGCTTCTTATTTAACTAGGATTACAGGCCTGTGCTACTAGACCTGGACACCATACTTTATAGCATTATGTATATTTGTCTACTATTTAAATATAATCATTCTATATGTATTTTTGTATTTCTTTTTCTTTTGTTTACATCTTTTGTTTTTGAGCTTTCTCCATGTTACTGCATATATTTGTTTTCACTGCTATTTATGTGTATGACTGTCATACAACTTATTTGACCCTAAATACATGCACATGATTCTGTTTAATCATATGACACTGTGAGGCAGAATGAAGACGTGAGACTTAGGTGAAGTAAGTCGTCCAAGGTCAGACAGAAATTAAGTGTAAGGGCTAGGCTTTGAACCCAGGTTTGTCTGATTACAGGGCCCATGTTATTTCTACCCCACTGCCTCACCAAGAACCCTCCAAGCGCTAATGGAAGTGTAAGTTGATCTAATGTTTGTTGAATAATTACTATATCCTAGGTACTTTACATATATTCTAATTTGGTGCTTATAGCATTTCTAAGGTAAGCGTTAGCCTTCTGGGCATCTGTGAACACAGCAGCTGGATTTCTTTCTTTTTTATTTAATTTTGAGGCAGGGCTTCACTATGTAGCACAGGCCAGTCTTCTTTGTTTTTTCGAGACAGGGTTTCTCTGTGTAATTGCTCTGGCTGGAACTTGCTTTGTAGACCAGGCTGGGCTTGAATCCACAGAGATCTGCCTGGGACACAAGCCAGTCTTGAAATCACTGTTTAGCCTAGGGTGAATCCAAACTCACAGTCCTGCCTCAGCTTCCCAAGATCAGTGGTTCTCTAAGCATGTTCTCCCTTAACCGGCTCACTGAGTGGCTAGAATTAAGTATCTCCCACACTTCACTTTATTACCTCTGATTCTTCTGAAAAGTATAATTCCTAGGTTCTGTTTCAGACTCTTGATTGAAAAGTGTTCTCTGGAAAATGGAAACTATATTTTCATGAAATTTCCCAGGTGATTATTACTATTAGGTTAATTTTAGTACTGTAAGTAGTTTTAAATATCCTATATATGTTAATGATTTCAAACGATCCCTCCCTGTTTCCACATGGATTTCAAATAGCTGTTGAAACTTAACAAAGAGCTGCCACAGCTGTCTGCTCAATTCCATCCTTCTAAGTTCTAGAACACTAGCACTGGCACCTGCCCAGGAGGCTGAGTCCCTCTGTAGCTCTATTCTACCATCCTCAGCCAAGCTTCCTATAGTTATCTAGTTCACCTGTCTCTTCCTGTTCTACCCACATGCTGTGCTGTAGGATCTGTTTTCTTTAATCGTATATCAGCTCCTTTTGCTCTCTTGCTTCAGACTCTCCCATATCTTTTCACTGTAAATCTGTGTGTTGCCCTTGCATGTCTCCCTTATTTTTTTAAAACTTTTTTTATATATACTTTAATTTATTATGTATACAATATTCTCTCTGCGTGTATACCTGCAGGCCAGAAGAGGGCACGAGACCTCATTACAGATGGTTTTGAGCCACCATGTGGTTTCTGGGAATTGAACTCAGGACCTTTGGAAGAACAGGCAATGCTCTTAACCACTGAGCCATCTCTCCAGCCCGCATGTCTCCTTTATTGACTGTTTTGGTCTACCTTCTATTGCTATTTCTTCATGAAAAGACTTGTTCTGAATTTCATGTGGTTGAGTTCTTGCCTTTTACATTTTAGCAAATGTTAGGTTCTCGTTTGGTCTTCCTTGCCATCCAATTTAATTTAATTGTCAGATCACATTTGTGTCATCTCCCATATTGTCTTTATAGAATAGTCAGTGTGTCTTCTGTTCTGTGTTCTCTAGACTGGTCTAGAATACCTGGGCTCAATTAATCTTCCTGCCTCTGCCTTCTCTGAGGCTGGAACTGCAGATCCATGCCATACTTTTGTGTATGTGTGTACTGCTGGGGACTGGCACCCAGAGCCTCTTCCATGCAAGCCACAAAGTATACCTTCAGTGCCATCATCATCATTTTCTTTCATGTGTTTGTGGGCAAATGTGTGTACAGTTCATGCGGTCACATGTAGGGGCAGGGGTCACTGTCAGGTATCTTCCTTGATTATTATCTTTTTATTTTGACATTTATATTTATGTGTCTGTGGGCACAGTGTGTACATGCCATGAAGTTTAATGATCAGAGGACAACTGAGTTGGTTCTGTCCTTTTACCATGTGGGTTCCAGTGATCCAGTTCAAGTTATCAGGCTTTGTGGCAAGCTCCTTTACCGGTTGAAACATCTCAACGGCCACTTTTTTTTTTTTTTCTTACCCTGTTTTTGAGACAAGGTTTTTTACTGTATATGAAGCTCCTGGATTTGGGTAGGCTGACTGGTTAATAGTGCCAAGGACCCACCTATCTCTACCTTCCCAGGAGTGGGGTCACAACACCTAGTTTTTACAGGGGTGTTAGGGATCCAAAGTCAGGTCTTTAAGATTGTTCAGCTGTCACTTTACCAGCTGAGTCCCCTGCCTCTAATTTTTTTTTTTTTAAATTATTGGTTTAAAAAAAAAAAACACAACAACAAAACCCAAAAGTAGCTCTTTATTTTGTGTATGTGCAAGTGGAAGTCGGAGGTCTGCCGGAGTTGCTTCTCTCCTTCACATAGTTCCGGGGATTAAACTCAGGTCATGAGGACTGGCTGTCCTGCTGGGTCCTCTTCTGGTTCGGAGACAAGTTCTCTCCACAGAGCTCTGTTTTCCTGGAACTCACTATGTCGATCAGGTTGGTCTTGAACTCACAGAGGCCTCCCAAGTGCTGGGATTAAAGTCATGCTACATAGCAAGTTTGAGGCCAGTCTGGGTTACAATGAGACACTGTCTCAAAAAAAAAAAAAAAAGAAAGAAAGAAAAGAAAAGAAAAAGAAAAAGAAAATGAGAAAAAAGAAGAAGAAATAGGGCCAGGGACAAGAGTACCTACTATTCTTCCAGAGGACCTGAGTTCAGTTTCCAGCACCCATATGGGCAAGTTAGATTACAGCTGCCCATATTTCCAGCTCCAAGCAGACCTGACACTGCTGGCTTCTAAGGGCACCGTACTCAATCATGTGCACATGTTCACATGTATACACATAATTAATAAATCCTTAAAAAAATACTTAAAAGGGCCCAGCAAAGCTATAGTGGGATTTCAGTTATGTTCCAACAAGCCAAATTATTGCAGTTCTGTCCATGGAGCTCAGGGCTAGGCAAGCACCCCTAACAGCTGAGATCACCCTCAGCCATGTCATCACTGTGTTTATGTTTGTGGTGCTTCTGCCCTGCCAGAGTATGACCTGTCTGCGTGAAGAATCGTTCTTATTGTCTTTTGTTGAATGAATTGAATGAGTGAAATTGATCAGATGTGTTTAAAAAATACCCACAGAAAAATAACAGAATAGTTTGAATGAGATACTTTATCCTACCTACTTATGACTTACATTGCGGTCACTTAACATTGAGTAAAGTATTGAGTCTTCCATTTTTCTTAGTTCAAGTCTTTTCCTGTTTATATCCCTGCAAACAGGCCCTCGTTGGTAATAGTAATGCTGCCAGTGACTTGGCATCTTTTGTGCATTAATTCATCACAGGGAAAGTATATTAGCTCTTAATCATGATATCAGAGGTTAAACAGACTTGAGGTTGACTTTTGTCCTTGTTGCTTTCATTTATTGTTTTCCTTTTTATTTTATAGGGGATCATCCACGGCAAGATAGCATGGATTTCAGTAATGAATGGGGAGATCCTTCCAACTGTCGGTGTGGAGACAGACTGAAGCCACTAGAACGGAGAGCTGCACGCCAGCACCAGCGATGTCTAGCACATTCTTTGGTTGGGACTCCCAATTATATTGCACCTGAAGTACTACTACGAACAGGCAAAGCATTTATTTGTCTCATAAATAATTTTAGTAGTCTTTGAGATCAGCCAAATTTATGCTAGAATATACCTTATTTCTTTTCAGGTTTAAGATAGAAGTGTTGATTTTACAGTATAAATTGTTGACTTAATGTTGTTTTATTCTGAGCATTTTTTAAAGTGTTCTTGTGAATAACTATGTAATTTTGGTACTTTTAGGATATACACAGTTATGTGATTGGTGGAGTGTTGGTGTTATTCTTTTTGAAATGTTGGTGGGACAACCTCCTTTCTTGGCACAAACACCATTAGAAACACAAATGAAGGTAAGCTATAGGACCTACACAAAAAATTATTAGCCCTTTATAGCTCTTTATATATGCTGTAGTTCTTAAAAGAGTACCTTTATATGTCTTGTCCAAAAGACTTGAGGCAGAAATATTTCACATTCTTTGAGATTTTGTTTTGTTTTGAGATAGGGTCTCAGTATGTCACCCTAAGTTGGTTTAGAACTCACCATGTAGGTAGACCAGCTGACACCTCAGAGATCTGCCTCTGCCTCCAGATTTTTAAATGTTTGCATATACACACTGAGATTTCATAGGAATAGATCACAAGTTTAAACATGAAATTCATTAATGTATCAAACAGCCTGAAGGTAATTTTATGTAATAGTTTAGTGTACCTTTGTTTCTTTATGGTTCTGTTTTGTTTTTGGAGTGCTAGGATCCAAGGACCTCTGATACACTAGACTAGTGCTCTACCACTGAGCTGTGTTCCCAGCTCCTTGTGAATTCCTTTTGAGTGCAATCAAAACAGATCAGGTGGAGAGCTTTCTACTTACAATATCATATCAATATTAAGAGTTTTTGTGTTATTATCTTTTGAATAATTTGTTTAACTTTTATTTTATGTGCATTGGTATAAAGGTGTCAAATTTCCTGGAACTGGAGTTTCAGACAGTTGTGAGCTGCCATATAGGTGCTGGGAATTGAGCCTGGGTTCTCTGAACAGTGCTCCTAACTGCTGAGCCATCTCTCAAGTCCCCGAACTTTGATGTTTTAAAGTATTTCAGAGGGCTGGAAAGATGGCTCAGTGGTTAAGAGCATTGCCTGCTCTTCCAAAGGTCCTGAGTTCAATTCCCAGCAACCACATGGTGGCTCACAACCATCTGTAATGAGATCTGATGCCCTCCTCTGGCCTGCAGACATACACACAGACAGAATATCATATAAATAAATAAATATTAAAAAAAAAATAAAGTATTTCAGATTTTGAATGTTTTTGGATTAGGAATGTTCAACCTATTTAAGCTTAGCATGGTAGCCACCTCTAACCTTTAACCTCAGCACTTGGGAGACAGAGGTGGATCTCTGTGAGCTCCAGTCCAGCTTGGTTTAGTGCTTTAGTTACAGTTTCTGTTGCTGTGAAGAGACACATGATCACAGCAACTCTTATAAAGGAAAATTTTAATTGGGGGGCTAACATACAGCTAGAGGTTTAGTTTATTATCTTCATGGCAGAGAGCAGGTAGACATGGTGGAGAGGAGCAGAGAATTCTATATCTTGATCAGAAAGCAGCAGGAAGAGACTGAGACACACTGAACCTGGCTGTAGCTTTTGAGACTTCAGAGGCTGCCCCCAATGACACACTTCCTTCCGCAGTGCCACACCTACTCCATTAAGACCACGCCTCCCAATAAGGCCAGTCCCTGAGTCTATGGGGGCTGTTTTCACTCAAAGTACCACACATAGCAAATTCCAGAACAGCCAAGGTTACTTAGAGAGACCTTTTCTCAAAAATAAAATAAAACACCTAGATGGTGGCACACTTCTTTAATCCCGGTACTCAGGAGGTAGAATCAGGCAGATCTCTGAGTTCTAGTCCAGCCTGGCCTACAGAGTGAGTTCCAGGGCTACACACTAAAAACCCTGCCTTGAAAAACCAAAACAACAAAAATTAAACAAAACAAAAAAAGGAACCTTACTGTGAGTCTTCTCAAGAGCTGAAGATAGAAAATATATTGTCTAGAAGTGATTTATTATTAAAGGTAAAATACTGTGCAAGTTACTTAGAAAAACAAGTAAGACATTTGATATAAAACTTAAGGCAATTGTTGATTTTCATCTCTTCCCTTCTTAATTTTTAAAAACTCTTCTCTTAAAGGTTATCAACTGGCAAACTTCTCTTCACATTCCCCCTCAAGCTAAGCTGAGTCCTGAAGCCTCTGACCTCATCATCAAACTCTGCCGAGGCCCAGAAGATCGCCTAGGCAAGAATGGTGCTGATGAAATAAAGGCTCATCCTTTTTTTAAAACCATTGATTTCTCTAGTGATCTGAGACAGCAGTCTGCTTCATACATCCCCAAAATCACGCACCCAACAGATACATCCAATTTTGACCCTGTTGATCCTGACAAGTTGTGGAGTGATGATAATGAGGAAGAAAATATCAACGACACTCTGAATGGCTGGTATAAAAACGGGAAGCACCCTGAACATGCTTTCTATGAGTTTACCTTTCGGAGGTTTTTTGATGACAATGGCTACCCATATAATTATCCAAAGCCTATTGAGTATGAATACATTAATTCACAAGGCTCAGAGCAACAGTCTGATGACGATGACCAGGACACAGGCTCCGATGTAAAAAACCGTGATCTAGTGTATGTTTAATAGACTAGGAGATACTTGTAAGAGTGCAGAAAGACCTGAAATGCAGGGTTTTTAGGTTTTGAGGAGATTATGCAAATATGACAGAGTTTGTGTGCTCTGTGTACAATATTTTATTTTCCTAAATTATGGGAAATTGTTTTAAAATGTTAATTTATTCCACCCTTTTAATCCAATAATTTAGAATAAATTGTTATAAGGAAAGTAAATTATGAACTGAGTATTATAGTCAGTTCTTGGTACTTAAAGTACTTAAAATATAGTGCTCTGTCTAAAAAGAGAAGCCTGGTATCTATTTGTATATATGCTAAATAATTTTAAAATTCAAGAGTTTTTGAAAGACAGTTTTATCTTGCTTTAACCAAATATGAAACATACCCATATTTCCCCTGTAACTGTGGTTTTAGTTCACAATAAGCTAAAGAAATTAAGGCATCATTTTAGAAGGTGTACCTAGGCTAATGCTAATCTGGAAGTCATATCCTGGGATCACAAATAGAGCAGAAAAAAGTGAGTTCACTAGAAATAATCAGTTTACCGCTTCCCTCCACGGAAGTCCTAACCTAGCCTCTCAATTACTGGCTTTAAAAAAAAGAAGTCAGAGCACTACTAGTTTTGTTTCCATATTGATATTAATGCTGCTTCCAGTTTTAAAAGGGAACAAAGTTGCCATAAATCAAATTTTCAGATACTGAAAACTAAGGTCTGTAATATTTTTATCTTAAGATTAGAGTAAAAATTTCCATCTCCTAAGCAAAGAAATTATTTTCGGTTTGTAAAACTTTGATTAGAATTTATTTGTATGTACTCACTAAGAAAGTACTTTTCCAGGAGCTGGGGCTATAACTTAGTGGTAGAGCACTTGCCTAACATACACAAAGCCCTGGGTTCAATCCCCAGCACCGCTGTCCCCGAAAGGTACCTTAGCAGTACAGTGATCAATCTTGATTGTGTTGTCATTGCTGTAGATTTCCTCTCCCAGAACAGTGCTACAATACAAATCACTGGCACAGGAAAATGGTTCTATTTGGCACTATTATACCTAAGAGTAGATTAATTGGTTAAAAATAATTATTAATTAACTCCTAATTGGGATGACCATTCCTAATTAGAAGATACATAGTGGTTTAAAAATTGAAGACCACCTAACTTATTTAAGATTAATGTGCCTATTTATATAATGTTTAGGTTCTAAGGAAGAATTGTGGCTTTATAACAAAATGCATAGTAACATCTTTTAGGAAGAAGAATCAGGCTGCATTCTTACCTTAGTAAAGTTTGTATATTATTTTCTTTTCCTAGGGTTTACTGACACGAATACTTTATCAGATTTAATGTTTGCGGATAGGAAAGATATTTACCTGTCTAGCTTTCATATAAAAGATAATTTGTTTGAAACCATATGTATAAAAAAATTAAAAACAAAGATACTTGATTGAATTGGAGAAAGAAAAATTATTAGTTTATTAGCTTACACTTTCATGTTCAGTTTAGAACCTGTTGCAGTATAAGAATGGGTCTTTGGGGTCACTGGTTCTTTTGAGATGAAGGCTGTGTTAACTCTGGCCCTAGTGAAAAAAGTGCATATCAGCACATACACAGAAAGCGTTGCATGCACATCCAGGGATCCCTAGATATGATAGAAACTTCACAGACAGGTTAGAGACCTACATCCTGTAAGTAAGTTGCTACATTCAACTGAACACTCTTAATTTATTGCACAGTTCTCAGATGAGCACATTCTGTGAAAATGATGCTCTGTCATTGGAAGGGTTCCAGAGTACGACGTGATGATCCTGCGAATGCTGGCACAACGCTGACATGTTGTAGACACTATTTTGAGGGCACTGAAATGTCGGCTGTTTCTGAAGGATTGCTAAGGAGAACTGTAAGAGAATGTGCTATCAGGAAACAGTCTTTATATCATGGGGCGTTTGAATAGTCTGTAAAGTCCTATGCAAAACATACTAATTCAAGAGTTTTTTACTTGGTTCCCACTTTTATAAGACAGCCTTCTTGTTCTTTGGGCTTTCTCACTCAGATTTACATTTTCATTGAGTGGTTTTACTCCTGGATTATGGTGCAATACAGTAGAAAACCAACTTTGTCATATTTACACTGCAGGAAAACAAAGGTGCTGTCTCTCCCCTCCCACAACCACGTTTCCTCTGAATGTAAACACTACAAATTCTGTGTTCTTCTAAACTTCCCTGAAGGTCTAGTGTTTGTCAGAGGCAGTATATAAGCATTGGTATCTGTGATTTTAGTATTTTATTCACAATTTTAATATTTTGGATACTTATATTGAATTACTCCCTGACTACATCCAGTTCTTCCAGCATAGAAGCTGGTGCTTTATGAGCAAATAAAGAGAACAACATAAAACCTGGACACTCTCAACTGAAGCAGGGTGAAGATGCTGTTCTCCATGCTGTCCCTTAAAACTGGCTGTCTTGTGTACTTGCCCCTTTAATACGTTATCGATAGTATTTATAAAATGCGTTCTATAATTGTGTAATTGTACATACTGTTGTGTATTGTTCAGTGACGTCCTGAGGCAGGCCCTGTTGCTGTTTCTGTCCTACCTTCCTATTTCTAATAGAAACTATAGAATGTATGACTAAGAAGTCACTTTGAGATTGACTTTTTTAAAAAGTTATTTCCTTCTGCTGTTGAGAAGTGCAAAACTGTGAGTGGAAATGTTTTATTCTGATTTAATGATATGTTAGAACTTAGAAACCCAGTGGGAGGAGTTCTTAGATATGCTGCTGCTGTTACCCAAGGTACTTTAGAACTTTTTCTTTAATAAACAAAAAATCCCTTTGATATTTAAAGTCAAACAGTTTGTGTTTTTTAATCTAAAATAAAACATAATTTGGGTCAACATATTGGTATATTTGTAAAGTGCCTTAGTATATTCCTTTGTGGAGGGCACTTCCCAGTTTACTTTTATAATGTATTATGTATATAAGTATTTTGTATTAAAATGGAATCAATGGCAACACTACCATTTTATAAAATAATGCTTTGCTAGAAAAAGAATTACAGCTTTGCAATATAACAACTGTTTTGCATATTTCTGAATGTAATAGAACAAATAATCAGTCAGTTTTAATGGATCTATTTGTATTTTCCCAATCATTTCCTCTAGTGTAACATTTGCTGGGATAATAAAAAAAAAAACAAAATTCAAATCTTTCAATTATGTGCGGAAAACTAAATTATGTAAATTTCTGTTGATGGAGGAAGGTCATTGGTTAATAAAAGAAACTGCTTGGCCTCATAGGTTAAAACATAGGTGGGAGGAGTAAACAACAGAATGCTGGGAGGAAGAGGAAGTGAGGTAAGATGCCTCAGACAGATGCCATAGCTCAGCTCTCGGGGGCACACGCGATGAAGCTCCGACCCAGGATGGACGTAGGCTAGAGTCTTCCCGGTAAGCGCACCTTGCTACACACATTATTAGAAATGGGCTAGTCCAGGTGCGAGAGTTAGCCGAGAAGAGGCTAGATATAATAGGCCAAGCAGTGTTTAAAAGAATATAATTTGTGTGTTGTTATTTTGGGTGTAAAGCTAGCCGTGCGGGAGCTGGGCAGGACGAAAAGCAAACCCGCAGCTCCCCACAACATTCTATTATGTTGTATTGTATGTGGGGGTGTGCATGCCCACAGGAGGGCAGAGGACAAGTTTCAGGAGTCACTCCTCTCCTTTGACCATGTGGTTGCCGGGATCAAATCTGTATCTTCAGACTTGGTGGCAAGAGCCTTAACCACTGAGCAATCATGCCAGCCCTATTTTCTTTCTTTTTTAGCATTTGTGTGTGTGTGTGTGTGTGCGTGGGTGTGTGCACATGCCACAGCACTCGTAGCAATCAGACTCAGTGGATTCAGTTCCCTCCTTCAACCGTGTGGTTCCTGAGGGTTGAATTGGTTGTCAGGCTTGGAGGCAAGCACCTCCACCTGCTGAGCCATGTCACCATCCCAATTTTTAATTTTTCAAGATTTCTTTACTTTTATATAATTTTAAATAGTTTAAACTGGAAATATATCATTTCCCCCTTCGCTTTCCTTCTTCTAACTTTCCAGTGTACCTACACACACACTTTTCACTCTAAAATTCATGACCTCTTTTTCTATGTGTGTCTGTTTGTGCCTAAATACAACCTGTTTAGTCTATATAATATTACTCATATGTACATAATTTCAGAGCTGATCGTTTTTGGATGTGCTCTTTCCTGGAGATGACTGTTTTCCTCACTTTCAACATTGCTTAGTTACCTGTAGTTAATTGTCTAGATTTGGGACCCCATGAGATTTGTCCCTTCGATGGTAACATGTCTACTTGTATGTTCTGTTCTAGCCTAATTTTCTAAATTCAGTTTTCATTTTTCAATCTTAGAAAGTTTACGATTAAAACTTTGCTGCTTTGGAGTTGAAGTATATATGACTAGTGATTGTAGTTATGCAATTAAGACAAACTGATTACAGTAGAATGTAGGGGACATTCTCATTTTTCTCTAATAGAAGTACAATCAGTATTTAACATTAAGGCATTATTTATATTTCCATTTTACTTTATACATTTAAAAAAATGTATGTATGTCCATGTGCAGGGGTGCTCTAAAGGGCCAAAATAGGGTGTTGGGTCGCTTGGAGCTGGAGTTACAGGTGGTTTCTGAGCTGCCTGATATGGGTGCTAGGAACTCTACTCCTCTGAAAGAGCAGCAAGTACTTTTAACCTCTGATCCAGGTTCGAGCCTTGTAATTCCATGTTTTAGACAAATTCTTGTGCAACTCAGTCTGGTCTGGAGCTTGCGTAGCTGAGATGGGCTTTGAATGTCTGATCTTTGTGTTTCTACCTATTGAGTGCTAGGATTATAGACCTTTACTACTTCACCTAGATCCCAAAACTTTCTCCTAATTAAACTTGACATTTAGTATCATTTAGGTATATTTGATCATTTTTAGATGTGAAAGTGACATTTCCCTTTACATGTATCACAGGAAATGCTATTCCGATTCTAGACATTCTCTCAAATCAGCTGAACATGAAAACATTCAAGTGCTAGCATTGCTGTTGTTTTCTTTTGTCCATTAGTTTATTCCCCTTCGTAATTTATTATTTGATGTTCATGAGGCCAAATTGATAGGCCCAAATGCAATACTTCTGATTTGTGTTACTACTTTGTGGGTCCATGTCCTAATGCTTCACATTGTAAAAATACTTTCCTATGTTGATACTTTCCCCTCTCCCTTCTCTGTCTATATCTGAAAGGAAGAGGGAAGTTGACAGAAGTATTTAAAGCATGAATGGTTCCTGCCTCCAGTATCCAGTGTTTTGTCGTTCTTTCTGATACCCAGAATATCTTTGCATTCATGATCTGGGTGTAACTCCAGAGTGTTTCTCCTGGGGAGGAAATAAAGGGTTCCCAATGCTAGACTTTGAATGAAGTTGGTGGTTCGGGAGAACACTGAGACAGACTACTGGGAATAAAGGAGTTTATTGGAGTTAGGCCATGGACAAATGGGGAGATGCATACATAGCGTGGGAGTCCAATGAGAGTTTAGGCCTCCGTAATAGACAGACAGCACAATGTGGTCTCTGAAGAAAATGGATCCTCTTCCATGCTTTGAGGGTGAGACGGTGGCAGCACAGCAAGAGCCTGACGCCAGGTTCTAACGCTCAGGTAGGAGTCAGGGAAGAAGCTGTGGGTATCGGTTGTCACCGTCGTTTGTTTGTTTTTAGTTGTTGAAAAAAATTTCCGCCTCCTCCGGTTTCCCATTTCCCTCCCCCTCCTCCCACACGTCGTGGACTTCCCGCAGGGCAGGGAATCTGTACTGCTCTTCTCGAGAGGGAGGGGGAAATGGAGTGGGGGGGAGGGAGAGAGGAGTGGAGGGAGGGGGCTATGTCACAGTCCTTAAATGGAGACTCAATAGCAAGTCTGCTAGCCCAGAACTCACTGACAGTGTCAGCGGGGCGCCTACCAATATCTGTGAGAGGAGGCCTGAGCTGGATTCTAATTCTGCATGCTTACACTCATGAGTGACTCAATCTCAGGCCTAATGACAGAGGCTTTTCTTGTTCCCAACATCCAGTCCGCACTCCACTTTTACAGACAGCCTCTGCTATCACACTACAAGCTCTGTTTTCACATCTGTGACATGTCGCCATCACTAGGACCTGGGCAGATCTTAACACACTGAGTTTAAAATTCTTTGCTCTGTACCTGCTGTTTTCCTTTTCCACAGGATGGAGCACGGACAATATGGTGAGTTTATTTTGACCATAAAAACCATGAAAGCACCAAGGAGTAGAACAAAATGAAGAGATGCCTGAGAAATGGTGAGATACAGTGTTGTCTGCAGGGAGCTGAAGAACTATTAAGTGAGAGAAAACATACACACCCATTCCAGCCAGCGAATCCACACCAGGGCTAGTGAAGCACAGAGTGTGCATAATCTGCTTTGCAGAACAGTTTAAGAGGATTATTTTGTATTTTGACTCCCTCTCATTCAATTCATCACAAATTACTTTGATCTAATCTCTAATTCCTTATCTTCGTCCTCACTGTTACTAAGGTGGCTGAGGCTCTTGTCTTACTGTTCTATTGCTGTGACGGGACACCAGGACCAAGACAATTTATAAAAAAAAAAAGCATTTAGCCGGGCGGTGGTGGCGCACGCCTTTAATCCCAGCACTCGGGAGGCAGAGGCAGGCGGATCTCTGTGAGTTCGAGACCAGCCTGGTCTACAGAGCTAGTTCCAGGACAGGCTCCAAAGCCACAGAGAAACCCTGTCTCGAAAAACCAAAAAAAAAAAAAAAAAAGCATTTAGTTGGCTCTTGCTTGCAGTTTCAGGTTAGTCCATGTCTGTCATGGAAGAAGTGTGGTGGCAGGCAATCAAGCTTGCTGCTAGGTCAGGAGCTAAGAGCTTACATCCTTATTCCCAGGCAGGAGGCAGAAAGAGAGACTGAGCCTAGTGTGGACTTTTGAAACCCCAAAGTGCACTTCAAGTGACATACTTCCTCCAACAAGGCCACACCTCCTAATCCTTCCCAAACAGTCCACCAACTGAGAACTAAACATTCAAATATAGAGCCTATGGGGCCCATTCTCATTCAAACCACTACACCCTATATCGGCCTGTATTTTTTTTTCTTTCGTTTTGAAAGATAGCATCTCACCATGTGGTCCAGATTTGTCAAGGCTGCTCACAAACTTGTGATACTGCTGCCTCAGCCTCCTGAGTGCTGAGATTGGCATGTGCCACCAGCTCACAGCCAGCTACTAGGAAGTCTGACCTTTTTCTAGCCCTTCAAGTTTATAACCCACCTGATGACTCCAGATCTTATCTCTGGTATCACCACATCAGCTCCTGATAGATACGCTCTGTTACATATGATATGATAGCTAGAAACTCCATGAAGGAAAGTCTACTTGAGAATGCTGGGGCAGAACCAGGACCAGCAGATTATGGAGACCAGATGCCACTAGAGGAAATGAATGGCATGAGATAAGTGTCCATTTGGATGACATCTTGACATGTAAAAGGGTTTTTGTGTGTGTGTGTGTGTGTTTTTTTTTTTTTTTTTTTTAGAAAGTGACCTATGTTGGCCTAAACTCAGCTCTCCTGCCTCAGTTGCAGAAGTGCTAGGAGTACAAGCATGCACCACCACACCTGACCTCTGGCTGAATCTTGAAGCATGAGTGCAGGGAGAACCCAAATATCCCGTCTAAGAACATAAAAGATGAACTGGCAGTTGAGGTGCTGTCCAGGGCAGAAAAGGTCAAGCCAAGTCAATTTCTTGTTTTATCAAAGAAAAACACAGGAGTCTAGGGGCTCTGCAACATAACATTTCCAATTCCTAGGGACCAGCCTAAACATACTTGACAAACAAAGAAAAATAAAACATGACTTCCAGAGAAGAAACAACCAGTGAGCTTGACTGACATCTGGAATTGGTAGGCGATATTGTCATGCTCATAACTGTGCTGTACAAGCATGTCTTCCCATTTGTTCTTTCTTGAACAACTACAAAGAAAAAGAAAAGCAATATCTAGGTGATGTGGGAGTGATTTCTTATTAATAAAGAAACTGCCTAGACCCATTTGATAGGCCAACCCTTAGGTAGGCAGAGTAAACAGAACGGAATGCTGGGAGAAAGAAGCTGAGTCAGGGAGTCACCATGATTCTCCCACTCCAGACAGACGCAGGTTAAGATCATTCCTGGTAAGCCAGCTCTTGGGCTACACAGATTAATAGAAATGGG